GGGGTAAGAAGTGCCGAGTGACTTCCTCTGTAAAATGTACAATATCTTTGTAATGAAGGGTATATATGCATACTTTCTTGCATGTATTCTATAGTCAAAGGACTCTAGTTTCGAAAAATATCAACACGATCTGTGTGAGTTAAATATTCTTTATTTTATAGCAAAAAATGTCAAAAGTGGCCCTTTATTCCCCGGTCTACCCTACATATAATGTATATATACAGAGTGTCCGTAACCTACGGAATTGCCCGTCATGAGCAGGTAGAGCGGATTGAACTGACATTGAGTCGAAAAATCTTCTACCATTTTGCAATTTTTTGCAATAGTTAACAACATATCAATTTTTAAAGATAGTCGAATAAGCTGCGTTCGCCCGATCTACTACGCCCTTCGACGCGCGTGCCGCGGGGAATCAACATTGTCTGTCAAGCATGCCGCTCGAGCCATGGCGTTTATTAGGTCGCGGCGTGCGTGGCGCTGGGCAGCCAGTAGTAAGTCGGGCGAACGCGCTTATTCGGCTATCTTTAAAAATTAATATCTCGTTAACTATTGCAAAAATTGCAAGATGGTAGAAAACTTTTCGACTCTGTTCAGTCTGCTCTACTTGCTCATAATGGGCGATCCCGTAGTTACAAACACCCTGTATAAAGCGTTTGAGTCTAAGGAAGGAAGATGCATATTTGGGCTAATTACATCAACATAACGTGCGATTATGTTAGGTATTGATTTCATAATCACATAGACGACCGAAAACTATTATAATTCAAAGACTCAAGTCAATACCCTTACAGCATGAAATATTACAGCAATATTGTTTTGAAAGATCGCAATATTTCATAAAACATTGCTTTAATATTGTAGCATTAATTCTATACCCGCAAAAGTAAAATATTATTACAGTACTGCTGCAATATTTATAGAAATATATTTATAGAAATATCGCATACATATTGCTATAACGTTATGCAATATTTCAATAATTATTCCAGTTTTATTAATTACTAACATATTATTACTTAGTATCATTCCAAAATGCATATGATAAAGTTATGAGAAAAAAATATTCTGGAACCTTGAAAGCACATCCGAAAAAGGAAATCTCCAGGAGACTCGCCAACTCGGTTTGCGTACTCCTTATAGAACTCCTGGACATTTTCTCCTTATGAAAAACATATCCCTCTCGTGGTGGAATCGCGTATTTATTTACTGAATTGTAATATTGCAATAATTGTAATATTGTAATACCGCAATCTTTTCTACAAAATATTGAAATTACAA